AAAAAAAAATAAAGAAGAACTAACACCACTGCCTCTTGTGTCAATATGCAAAATAGAAAAGGAAGAAATTTTTCTAAACTTATTTTGTATGGCAGACATCATCCAGATATAAAAACTAGGTACAGAGTAAGCAAAAACAAAATAAAGAATGAATGAAACACAGAGTTTTTAAGTGAAATAAAGAATACACACAAGTTTAAATAAATCACATGATTTTTCTTATATAAGAAACAAAAATATAAATATAAATGATTACAGGAAGTGGGGATATAGATATTTTTCAAATGGGAAGGAGATCAAAAAATGGAGGAAAAAGGACGGAAAGTAAAGAAAGAGGATAAAAAAAGAACTGAGGTATGTTGTATTCATTACCAATTCTCCACAGCGTATAACCATGTAATGCAAACATGTTCTAATAAAAAATAAAAATGAAAAGTAAACTACAGGGAAATTATCTTTATGAACATAGATGCAAAAATCCTCATAAGATTTTTTTCAAACAAAATTCAACAGCTAAAAAGATGGCACACCCTAACCAAGTAGGTTTCAGTTATGGAATAGAAATAAGGATATAAATCACATGATCATCTCAATAAATGTTGAAAAAGTCTCTACCAAAATTCACAACCCTGCATGAGGAAAACAGGGATACTAGGTACAGAAAGCTCTTTCCTCAATATAATAAAAGCTGTATATAACAAGCCCACAGCCAACATTATACTGAAAGTGTAAAAACTGAATGTATTTACTGTTAATGAAGAATGAGACACTCCTGTTCTCACTACTCTCACTACTCCTGTTCAATATAGGAATCAAAGTTTCAGGTAGAGCAAATAGGAAAGAGAAAGTCATACCAAAAATACAAATAAGGAAAGAACAACTCAAATTTTCCCTATTTGTAGATGATATGATTATTTAGAGACCCTAAAAACTGCACTAGGTTTAAATCCAATAATTCAGTAAAGTGGTAGTGTACAAAAATCAGCATACAAAGATTAGTAGTTTTCCTATGTCCTAATAATGAGTTCACTGAGAAAGAAATTCAAAAAACAAAAAAATTCAATTCAAAACATCTTTATAATTTAAAAAAAATGTTGGAATCAATCTAATCTAGGAGGTAAATGATCCTACAAGGGAAATCACAGAACTCTGAAGGAAGAAATTAAAGAAGACATTTTAAAAATGAAAACAGTACCCACGTTCATGGAACAGCAGAATTAATATTGTTAAAATAATAATATTATCTAGGTATGAAATAGCCATACTACCTAAAGAATTTTAAAATGTTAGATGAAAACATATGGGAAACATTTGAAACCATAAGTACAGCCAAAGACTTATTGAAGATGATTCCAATAGCCTATGGAGTAATAGTAATTATTAGCAAATGCAAGTACATGAAATTAAAAAGCTTACGAACAGCAAAGAAAGCTGTCAACAGAGTGAAGAGGCAGCCTTCAGAATGGAAGAAAACCTTTGCCAACTACTTTTTCAAAAGAGGATTGATACATACAATAGATAAAGACGTTAAAAAAATTAACACTCAGAATGAATAACTCAATTTATAAAGGGGTAGGTAGATTAATAGACACTTCTCAAAAGAAGGACAAATATACAGTAAGTATATTAAAAAGTTCAATTTATATTGGAGCCAAGTGATCATAGTCGGAAACAGCTGAAACTACGAGGTAGAATAAACATCCCCTTCTTTAAGTTGTTAATCTCAGTTATTTTGTCACATTAATGAATAGCTACCACAGGAATAATAATCAAAATCATCTAGTAAGTGTAAAAAGTGGGGCACTCAGACGAATACATGAGTCCAATAAGTACCTCATAAATACGTTAAAATGATTTTCTATATGAGGGTCAAAAATATTTAATAAGAAAAAGACAAATTTTTCAATTAAGGAACATTGAATATCCATATACCAAACAAACTCCAAGCAAAAATTAAGTTCCCATATACTGCATACGCTGCAAACAAAAATTAACTCGAGAATATTTAAACATAAACCTTAGCCATAAAGAATGAGAGACTTTATTTCCATTTTTTTCATTTTCTCATATTTTTTTCTTTTCCCTTATTACCTTTCCCCTACCCTTCCCACTTGAATGTAACTGTGCTGCATACCTAAAATGTACCAATAAACTCAATTTAGAAAACATGAGAAACTTGAGTCATTGTTGGGAAAATGGACGCATATGGAGGCCGTACTCAAGTGAAATAAATGAGACACAGAGTGTAAAGATGGTGTGAAAAACTAAAACTATAAATAAGATCAGAATGGTAAGTCTGTGGCTTTTGAGTGCCAAATCATTTCTTTACATGAATTTACTTAATATAAGAACAACTGATTGCCCATCAGTTGGAGACTGGATAAATAAGATGTGGCTTTTTCTATAAAAGGGAGTATTACGCAGCCATAAAGAATGAGAGACTAGAGACATTCATAGGAAAATGGATGCATATTGAGGTCACACTCTTAAGTGAGATACATGAGACACAAATGTGTAAATACTGAATAGTTTCTCTGGAGTTAAAAACTAAAGGTGTAAATATGATCCAAATGGTATAAATGACAATGTGAAATACAAAGAAAAGGGCTAAAGGTGTAGTGGGGAGTGGGAAGGGTAGGGGAAAGGAAATAGGGGAAAAGGAAAAATATGAGAAGAGGAGAAAATGGAAACACAGTCTTTGTAAATAGGGGGCGGGGTAAAGGGAGAGCAGGGGCATGGAGAAAAAATGAGAACCAAGATCTGTCTGTAAGGGTATAAGATCTGAATGATAAATGTAACTGGACTGTATACTTGAAAGGTACCAATAAACTCAATGAGAAAAAAAAAGAACAGCTGTGTGCTGGACATCAAGAATTTTTTGATACAGTTGGTAAATAGAACATGCAGCAAATAACTTTACGTCCTTATACAGCTCAACACTGTCGAAAAAATAAAAAGGAAAAGATTGAAGTGATAGGTGTCTCAGCATAGAGCTGACATTGTGGGCTTCAAAAATGATAGAAATAATTTTTATCTATCTGTGAATAAAATAGTTTTATCATTGCTAAATTAGTATTCAGTCTCTAAGTGAAGGAAAAGTAGGGTCTTTCCAAAGAACTCAGGATATTCTCAGGTGATGATGTGTGGGCACCATTATCCCCTACCCAGATGTCTATAGCATCCAATCTCCATTTTAGATGAGAGATGCTTAAAATATGCAAATGAGCATCTCAATCTTAAAATGATTTCTTGCATAAGTTCCTAATGGCTCATGATCTGTCTATCACAATACATGTACACCTTCTGTTCAGTACTGTGCTTGGCAGCAGGTGAGAATCTATCACATATGGAGTGCTCAGTATCCTAGAAAGAACCTTTAGAGGTAAGGTATTTTCCTAATCTTACTTCCTTAGAAATAGTGTCTGAAGTCAAGTCACATATGTCAAAAATGTATTAGGTGAGGATGTTCAATTCCAAGAAAGCAAGAGCAGAAAGTAAAGACATGCCAAGGGGGGGCAACAAAAAACAAACCATAGGGCAACATGGCTGAGTTGCAGAACTGTCCTCAGCTATGTTGCTCAGTGGTTCCAACACCAGCCTCGCAAGCACAAGGATTTGGGTTCAATCCCAGGTACAAAAAACAAAGAAACAAACAAAAATCTGTTGGATCTTCATTCTATGTCTATGGGATCCAAATCATCCCTGCAATTCCAAGTCAAAAAATCTCAGCTGTTGAGCAAGAGTAAGCATTTGTTAGCAAGCTTCTTTCCATCTCTGCTTGTTTCTTTCATGGGACAAAATCTATCCCATAGGAAATTAACTGTTCCTTACTCTGTTGAGTTATTTTGAGATGGGGGTCAGCAATTGGTGAGGAAGGCTCCTGCACTGTGGGAGTGGCTAAGGCCCTGCTGAAGTCCATCACTAGGCATTGGAGAAGGCAGACAGGGTAGGTATTCAGCACTTGAAATTGCAGAATCTTGCCAGGCATGGTGGTGCACACCTGTAATCCCAGCACTTGGGAAGCTGAGGCAGGAGGATTGCTGTGAGTTAGAGACCAGCCTGGGCTACATAGTGAGTTCTGGGAAAGTCTGAAATACATAATGAGACCCTGTCTCAAAAAAGAAAGAAGAAAGAGAGAGAAAAACAAAAAGAAAAGAAATTTCAGAATGGTTACTCTGCCCAGGAGGCAGCAAGACCAAAGAATGCAGGGATGGGACAAGACAGGCAGGACCAGGTGGATCAAGGAGGCACACAGGCACACAAGCTATGTACGGAAATACTGCCTCATTTTAATATGACAGCATTATTTACTTAAGATCAAAACAGATGTTTTGGGTTGTGGCAAGTAAAAGTTGTCTGGGAATTTAAAGGCTTGTTGAAACACTTCGACTTCTGGTGAGCAGCATTGCATGAGAGAAACCAGGCTGTTTTATTGAAATCTCCTGTGACATAATTTGTCAAAATAAACTTTAATCATGTAAAAAGAAAAAAAAGAGATTGTCAAAAAATTCCATGTAATGCATAGCCCAAACTCACCTTTGCTTTTATTCTGATTTCAGTGACTATCCCCAAAGCGATTGAATTTCACTCTCTCCAACCCATTCCTAGCTGGCACCTGCATGTCTGACATTCACATTTTGGTGTGCAAAGAAAACTGATGCAGGGAACAACAGCATATTAGCACCAAAAATACATCCACGGACTCAAACATGTCATCAGTTGTAAAGAGGAAGAAAAGGTCTACTTAAGTGACACCCATGCCTGTCAGAGCCACACTTCACAGCCTCTGATCACAGCCTTGACTTCATTTTCAGTAAATCTCTGTTCTGCTTCTCCTTATTTTGTCCTGACTTTCAATTTAACTATAAGCTTTGTTGAGACTTTCCACGTGGTGGCCATAAGAGAAGCTTTTTCTTTTTCTTTTCATTTAGGTTTTCACAATCTGCTTCTTTATGGAAAAAAATGATGTTTTAAACTTGTATTTACTATCCAATGCAGTAAAACCCTATGGATTAAAATATATGACTCAAAGAACTAGAAAAGTGTGTAAAATACAGGAACATTGGTGACATACCTGCTAAGGAAACTCAAGTAGACAATTAATCCCCCACACCTAGATAATTAATCCCCCATACCTCTCCCTCTCTCTGCTTGTGTGTAAATCCTAAAGGGCTATGATTATCTCACAGAGAGAGCTGGTTACCCATGTACACATTTCCTTAGGGTTAACATATTTTCTATATTAAGAAATGTGGCAGTTATTATTGATTGACGGTTACAAAAGCTATTCAAAATCTTTTCTCAGTCACCTAACACTGTAGAGGTTAGGACAGGTAAATATTAGCCACACCTATCACCTTTTCCCCAAATCCCTAAGAAATAAGCTTAGGAAAACAAGTGTGTGTTTGTCCAGTGAAAGGTGTTGGGAGATTTTTCTCTGAGTTTGATTAAGTGGGACAGATGAGCTTGGCTCCACTCTTCTCTCCTCCCTTGCATCTTTCTCCTGAACACTGAAATGAGGTTCAGAACTGTTGCAGCCCAAACATGACCATGAAGCACAAAGCACTGTAAAGACAGTGGAGGAAAATAATGTGGATAGGTCCGGATGAGTTTCTGGTGGCATCCTCGAACCACTGAAACTTAGTAAGTACTAGCTTCCAGAATTCTTTTCAGGTGGGGGAAAAAGAAACAGTAACTATATTTTCAATTAATAGGCAACATTTTTCTTGTTTTAAGGATCAATCATATTACACATTCATGTCACAAATGTACATGTATATGTGCACCTATACATGCACTACACACACACACACACACACACACATATTCAATGCATTCATTTATTCTGATAAGTGACACACACAAGGTACACATAGAAGAATCCACTATAAAAGTGGAGAGCTTTTCTAACCTTTTCGAGTAGGTAATTTAACAGAAATGTCAGATGAGATTCTCCCTGTGCATCAACTGGGATGAATTGGTGTGTTGTGGTAGTAAAAAATGATTGGGAGGAATTAAAATAGTGACAGATGCCGGCTGAAGGAGAGATTTACACTTCACCCACTTCCTCTGTCTCTTCTAAAAATGAGGCAACCCAGCTGTCAATCTTCAATGGAGCCGCTCAGTGGTTTCGTCATTACAAGGCATATATTTTTAACTCATCATGTCCAGTTTCATTAGCATTCTTGTAGCAAAACAACTCTTGCAGCATCCCAAATGTCTATTCATTCCATGAACAAAAAAGTGCAAACTCATAAACAAAACACAAATGGATGCTACCATCTATTGCCAGTTTATAAATTGTCATGTAATTTAGATCGTAAGTGGGAAGAAAGAAAATTGAAATGTTTGGTATCATTTGAGGGGCTCAGGATTTAAGAGACTGTTTAAAATTATCTTTCATGGTGACTTAGGATACTGAGACCCTGGGCATGAGAGAAAAAGTGAAAACAAGTAAATGTAACTATTATTTTATAAGAAAATATTTAATTTAATAATATGGGAAGAACATTAAATTAATGATATGACTTTTAAAACAAGTGAAGCTTTAGGAGAAACTCACTAAAACCACATAAAAATGTTCATTTTACCTGAGACTGGTGATCATTTCTACATTGTATGATATTTATTGCTCTAATTAAACTTACCAAGTTTTCCTTCTGTACATATATATGTATGCTATTACATCTGTGGAAATGTCTTTGCTTGCTGAATCTTTACACTTTCTCAACCTATAGGATGCATACTTCTCAAAGGTGTAGAACAAATATCAGCTTTTTATTAATGTTGACTAAATTACTCTTCTTTAAAAATACCTCCAAAGCTGTGACATTTACAGCTTGCCCTAAAAATCTTACTTGAATATTATCATAATCTAGTAAAGAAATGGCAAGAATAGTAAAATCTCAATCTTTGAAATGTAAAGAAACAGGATTTGAACCTCTGCCAACATTTTATAGATAGGTAGTTTACATTATGACAGTACGTGTATTTTGTAACTGCTATAACAGTACTAAGGACAAGTTTTCTGATTCATAAATTTGTTCAAAGTACAGACATGACCTTTAAAATTTGTTCACTCTTTCTACTATGATACAACGGTAGTATAAAAATATGATTCTTGATTAAGCATCGTAAGATGTAATACGATTGAGTTTTCAATGTACGATTTTTATAGGAATACTACAAAATCAATAAATGCATGTGAGGACACACATGGATCTTTAAGATACTTGAGTTTATGGAAACAAAAGAACAAAATCTTTAAATATATATGTACTGCTCTATTATAAGGGCTTTCCCTTTTGAGAAAGAGTAAACAGAACTGGGGAAGTCTTGAGTGACCTACTAGAGAGGAGTAGGAAGGAATCAGTAATATTTCTGTTGAAAGGAAAGAAAAAGCAGACTGCAGCATATGAAACTTGCCTCTACATATTTGAATGACTGCCAAATGAAAGAGGAAGTTAAATTATAGTGTGTTTCCCAAGGCAAAACTAGTACAAATGGATGAAATTTACAAGACAGATTTTTATTCAGTATAAAGAACTATCACCTAATATTGAGTTGTCAAAAATTCAATTGCTGCATTGCAAAGCAGTGGCTTTCGTGTCATTGAAAGATTTCCTGCAGAGAGCTGTCCAAAGCCATCTTTGAGAGAGATAATTCTTCATTGAATGAGGCAGAGCATTAGATAACCTCTTCCACTGCTTCTAATGAGAACATTTTAGAAAACTACAAATCAGTATATTCTTAAAAGAATAAAAATACTACATAAAAATGTGTTGTACTGTGCATGTGATTTAAATTATTAGCTTCATTTGCAATTAAATGTAAATTACCACAGTTCATTTATCACTGGTCCTTCTGGCTGATTGCATTTTTCTACCTTATTTCTTAATGCAATGACTTATATGCAGGTTTATTTTTTAAAAAAATTGCTTTCCAGGCATCTCCCTAGAAGAGGTAGCAATTTATAAGGGACAAAAGAGAATACACGTGGATAATACTTTACACTTTTCTTCCTCTTTCCACAGATACTTTAATCTACTCTAAAATCAGAGGTCAATTTGTAAAGGTATCAGCCTAACTAGTGGAATCCGTGAATCCCTATCTGTAGTGACAATTGGGACATTTCCCCTCCTAACTTTCTCAGTAAATTCTCCATCAAACAACTAGCATTTGAGTGACTGAGTCATTCATCCACTTAATTATTTATTCAACATGCCCTGTGTTAAATACTGACACAGGACATAGTTGGTGATTCATAGTTGGTGACACAGGACATAGTTGGGGAAACCTGACCCACTGCTCCTTGCTCAGGGCCCCTCCTCCTTCACCAGCCAGGGCAACTCACATCTCATCTTCACAGCAGCTTTCTCTGGCATGGATCTCCTTCTTTCCCCACCTGTGATTTCCTGATGATTTGAGCAGTCATGTGTAAATTTCAGCCCTTAGCAGCACTGGCATGATTTCCCTGTCCTCACTTTCAATGATTTTTGAAAGCATCTAGCCATGCTTATCCAGACTCTGAAAAAGTAGCACTTTCAACTCTGAAGATAGTTCTTGTTGGGCTGAGTGAACTCAATAATTACAATATTTTCTTGCAATTTTAATTAATTGCTTATAAAGGATCTAGGAAATCAAGTGATATCATTATAAATTGCTTTGTACTTGTGCTAATCAATAATATAAAATCCAGGTTATTTTCCAATGGATGCAAGTGAGTTACATGATTTTTGTGAAAAAACTGAACATGAGGAGAGTAAAGCTCTGATTTATAAATTACACTATGAGTTTTTCACTTAGTGATAAAATACAAATGGATTTATGTGAAGATCAAGAGAAGCTGTCTTTGTTTTCAATAGTTGCTATAACAAATTGTAGGTGTATAAATTAATAGATACATAAATTACATATTTATTATTTTACGGTCTTGTATTTCATAAATTCTAAATTAGTCTACAATCCAAATAGTTGGCAGAACTCCTACACCTTTCTACCAAGAGATTTCTGTCTTGAAACCATGACCATGGACTGAATCCCCTGAACAGTGAGTCAAATGACACCTCTCTTTTTTAAGCTGTGTATGTTAGTTAAGGAATCTCAGCAACAGGAAAGCTAGCTAATAAAACTTCTTTCGGCTTATAGAGGCCAACGACCTTTACATCTACATTTTTTAAAACTCAAGTACTATATTGTGGTTTCAGCTGCTTGTGGGCTGGATCACATCATTCTGACTGAACACTTATCCCAGTGAAACAAGTTTCCATAACAATGCAATTGATATTCAAAATTCCAGCGATTTACCTCATCCTTAACATCTATATAATATAGGAGGAAAAGGACACAATCCTCTAAAAACTGCCTTGCTTTACTTTGCTTTTTCTTTCTCTTTCCTTCTTCCTCTTTTTCCTTCCTTCCTTCCTTCCCTCTGACCTTCTTCTCTTTCTCCCTCTCCCCCCCTTTCCTTCCCCCTCTCTTTCTTTTATAAATACCTTAGGTTAATATGACTAACAAATTAGGAAAGACGAAGGAAGGGGTCACTTGTACCCTCCCAGCCATGCCCAGCACAGGCCTCCTCACTGGAAAATACCTTCAGGTAAGGCTCAGTGTATTTGACCTATTTAGGCATAACAAAAAAAGGCCTATTCCCACTTGCCTTTATCATACCATCACACCACACAATTTTACACACAAACAAGTTTAAAAGGCCATATGTTGAGATAATCATCTGTACATAAAAATATGTCAGCTAGAGGTAGGAGGCAAATCACTTGGCTATTTGAGGTAACATTTTGGAAAACTGAATCCCTGCTGGTTATCATTTCCATTCACAGAGCAACTATCAACAAGTCCATGGCCACTGTCATGGCACTAATTGCTTAAAGAGCCACCAACTGAAACAAAGCAGTTAGCTTTAATAGCTGATGGTTCTCTTATTTTTAGACATGTCTGCCACATCCTGTTCTTAGATTTCAAAGCAAAATATATGCAAAATTACTCAGGTTTGGAGTGTCATTTACATAAGGAAAGACTTGTATGCTTATGAGTTGATAAGAATTATATATTTCAGCTGAAACTTTTACAGGTTAAACTTCTAATTTCTCTTAAGATTTAAATGGTTCAACATGGAATGTAACAGTTGCCCACAAAGGAGAGAAGACGAAACTCTTCCTAAAACAGAATAATCTCCATTTACACTATATCAATACACAAGGAACTCATTTATGGTTCTGTACATTTTGTTAGGTTATGCTTTCTCTAGAGGTAAATGAAACAGAAGATTGATCTGGTCATTAAAGAATAATAGCAATGAGAAGATAGCAGTAAAAAAGAGACACAAGAATGGGGAGAGAAGAAAACGCTGGAGTCTAAAGGTAGAAGACACATAGGAAATGAGAATTTCCTAGCAACACCTGGCTCTTATCACAAGGACATGCTCTGCCTAACCCTTTGCCAGTACAGTTCCAAACAGGCCTTAAGTCTCCCCATTAACTCCTTTCATCCTAGGATGTTACTGTTTAAACATTCCCATTTGCAGTTCCAAGATCACTAAAAGTAAATCAATAATGCTCATTTGAAATTCAGATTATACTAGTCCATAATGATTTTTCCCTAAATGTATTTAGTATTTATATTACTTATTTTCTTTTAAATAAAACAGATACTTAGAATGTTTGTGAATGAAAGCCAACATGTGGAAATATTTTTGAATAGATAAAGTATATGGGACCTCTCAGGGCAAGGGGAACTTTCTCCTCATAAGTGTTCCAGAAGAGTTTTTTCATCAAATATAAAGAGCTTGGAAGAACACCGAGCAGTTGATTCAAAGTTAAATATACACTGAAGAAATTTACAAAGCAGAGAAATTTTGTAGTCAACAATTCCTTGAATCACTACTTACATTGTGCTTTGTGAGGTTTGAAATATTAGTTGCTATTGCTTGTAGCCAGTCAAGAGAGTCTTCAGTGGAGAGGCACTGAATAATCCCACTGCAGACCCCATCCACAGCAATGACTTGAAAAGCATTCTGCCTGCAGACATATCAGAACAAATCAGAATAAAATGTCATGTCATGTCTCTGTTTGCAACTTAAAATAGACAAAGAGGGGTAGAATTCTTGGACTTGAAAAGGGGACCTGGAGACAGAGATGGAGGGGAAGGGAGAGGAAAAGGAAGTAAAAAGAATACGATATGTACCGTATATGCACCCCATGGTAACTATACTTATTATAAACATATCTTATGTCTTAAAATGAAGGGAGAAAAACTTATCACTCCAAATACCCCTCTTTCAAATTATGATTATCAAATTCAAATTTTATTATTTCCCTTTATGAATATCCATTTTTAAGTGTAATGACAAAAATATATATATTTTAATATTAGGAAGAATCAGCCTTATATTTCAGGAAATATGGGCAAACTCTGTAAAACTTAAAGCATGTAAATAGAAAAGATTTAAGAAGTTTAGAAGCAGTTTTTTTTCCAGTTTGCCATAAAATTATAGTACTTGATGTGTTATTTTTGTTTGCAACATCTCCTCTTGACCTTTCTGACTTACAATGGAAAAACTATAGACATGGTCAAACATTACATTCAGATGAAAAGATTTCTTAACTTTCCTGGGCTGCAGCTCTCTGGTAGTTGTGCAAACACTCAGTCTCAGTGTATTTATATTCTCAAATATGGTTTGGGACACAAGGTTCATATGTCCTCTAGGAATTATTTTGTTCTTAACATATGAAGGCTGAGAATTTCAGTATCATTAAAATTTTTCTTGAAGCCTAATATTCAATGCAACTGTAAGGCTTCCATGGATTTTTGTTATTGTTAGAGAAAATTAATACTGTACAAAATTATGTACAAAAATGCTACACACATTAAAGCAGCTCCCTGAAGCTGCAATGATTTACTTCTTTTGCTCTGCAAAAGTTCTTGCAATGTTTAGACATAAGCTTAATGGACAGAAAAAGATAAAACCCTGAAGTGAAAGGAAGCTAGACAAATGCCTTAGACTTGACCATACCCTTTAGAAATGTGCAGACTCTATTTAAGTCTCAGTCAATTGTGAAAGCAATAGAAAACTGCAGCAGCATTGTACTCAAAGTGCTACAGAAGTTGCATAAAGTTATATTTCTCCAAATAAATATCTTCTGAGTTTTTCAACTGTGTATTTATGGATATTAAACATTATTCACTTACTTAAATAAAGAAAACCCATGTGTCTGACTCAAGTGTACAATGAGGCCTCTACGACGCTCTCTTTTCTTTGGGCCAGCTCCTTGCTGAGACCCGAACACTTACTGAAACTATGGGCATCCGAAACACTCTGCATTTAAATTATTAATATTGTTAGAGGAATTGGTGTTTTCTCATAGACTCAGGATTATCTACTGAAACAAGGGATGTGTTCATGTATACATTTTTGTTTTCTCTTAAAAATTCATGAAATACCTTTAGGAAATACAATTTGTGAAAAAATATTAAATAATATTTGTGAACAGAATATTAAACATTCAAAGGGACATTTTTACCTTTAATTCTACTTTTCAACAGTGAATAAGACATTTTAATTACCTACACAGAAGGTTGGTCATCAATGGAAAATGAGAACTAATTTGAATTGAGTAATATACATTTCTTTCCACTTTTTCATTACCATAACCATTGCTTTATGTACCATAAATTAAAACATGTCTTGAACAAAATTATCCTCTACTTTTTAAATGAATAGTTTTAAAAGCTGGATATTTTTAGCTGATTAAAATCAATACACTCAGATAAACTTATTCCTATATGTAAACACAATGTTGATGAAGACTTTCACAAAGGACTGGAACAACTTATTTTATTATGTATCACCTCTTACAAAAGAGGCCGATCACAAAGATTACAGCTTTCTAGGATATACTTCTGTCTTTACTTACAAATAGAAGAGAGTGTATGGACCAATTAGCCATTTAGTCATGCCTCAGTTTCTCCAAGAGAAAATTAAAATGATATATATTTAATGATACAGACTACTTTTGTAAGTAATTTAAAAAGCCACAAAATATTAGGAAAATGTAAAATGACTTCTGCTGTCTCTAACAGCAATCTGCTTTGTTTAGTTCAAAATTCAGTAGTTTTTTAATAGAGTCACATAATGTCAGACCCTTATCTGTGAGAACCCCTGTCTATGTTTTGTTCCAGTTAAAACCTTGAATCCCTCTAACTTTTGCCCTCAGAACCTGGCCCTCCTGACCAGGACTGTCTCAGGGTCACCAATGAGCTGTTCTTGAGTTGTCTAGATTTGCAAAAAATCCTGATGGCTGATGCTGATTTCATCCTGTTCACAGATAGAAGCAACTTCATGGAAAAATGGGGTATGCTACTCTGGCTATGCAGTGATGACTCAAGATGAAATGGTCCAAGCGGTATCACTCCCCACCAGATGGTCAGCTCAGCAAGCAGAGCTTTGAGCACTCATACAGGCTTTCTGATGGGCAAAGGAAAGAGGGTAAATATTCATACAGATTCCCATTATGCCTTTGCTACCCTATATATTCATGGCACAATATATAAAGAGTGTGCTCTTCTCACAGAGGAGGGTTAAACAGATTAAGAATAAATAGGAAATAATACAGTTATTGGAGCCATTGTGGGAACCTGATAAAATAGCAATGATGCCTTGCTCTGGGCACGAAAAAGGAAAAGATACAATAGCAAAAGGTGATGCTAAGGCAGATAGAGAAGCCAAAAGGCAGCTGAACAGAAACTTCAGATGGCCATACTCACCCTGGGGCATAAAAGAAGAGAATGGAAATACAAAGGCCCCTAGCTGCTCTAAAATACTCAGATAAAGAGGTCCTCCCAGTGTCAACCCCTGCCCTTTTGATAAAGCCGGGGTACTGAGTTTATGTTAAAAATTGGAAAAAGACTCTTTTGCAACCTATATGGAAAGGACCATGTGACACACTTTTGGTTACTCCCACACCTGTCAAGGTGGCTGAAGCCTATCTGTGGATTCACCACTCTAGAGTGAAGTAACGGAGAACTCTATGGATTGTAACTCCAGGAGGCAGCACACTGAAGGCTCTGCGCTCACCACACTGGAAGCTGGCAAGTCTATGCACAGCTGAAAAATGAAGACTGCAATCAAGGTATTATGGATTCTTTTATTGTGTTAAATGGTTATGAGTTATTTTATGTTTGAATTAAGAGGTTATACGCCTAAACGTGTTAAGTTTGATAAAAAATATGTGAACTTTACAACCGTTAAATGGGAACTGGAGGGATATCCCTTCATGCTTCTTTTTGATGCCTGTCCAAAAGAACATTATGGAAACCCTGGTACCATACTCGACGGTGGGGGATATGCACAAGAAAAGAGATATTATTCAGATAAAACTCAAATATGGTTAAACAGTTCTGCTGTGACACGAAATATTGGCAATTGCGGTAACTGTAAACAGGGACATTGTAACCCCTTAAAAATGTATATAACCTGGCCTTGGAAGGCAAGCTGGCTACAGGGAATAGTTTTTCATGTTTATATTGGATATCAGTCAACTGCTAGGCATGGGTCTCACAGGTTAAAAAGACGGATTCTACAGATTAAAAACGTCTGGAAGAACCCCCTCCAGAAATAGAAAGAAAAACAAAACAAAAAAAACTCCTGAGCTGCAGGAAATACAAAATATCTTAAAAGGGAATCCAAAAAATTACACAGGAATAGATATGATGGGTTTAATTGATGGAACTCATTCACTGCTGCTACAGGCAGACAATGAATTAGCCTCTGGTGGCTGAATTTGTGCAGCACTCACCAGGATGACTTCTCAGGCAATTGGCATCATGAGTGACCTGCCCTTAGAGCCAAGAAAGCTTACTATGTACCCCGTACTCAGCTAACCATTAGATATAAATGGTACGAATTCAATGAAGGGTAAGGAGTTATCCCCAAAACGAAGGGAGAAATGATACAAAGAAATTTTGTAAATATCTAAAAACCTACAAAATGTTAGGAAAATGTAAAATGACTTCTGCTGTCTCCAACAGCAATCTGCTTGGTTTAGTTCAAAACTAACAGACACTGGAGACACTGACCACGAAGTGGGACATCTGGCCTCATCCTTAACCTTGAACACCCCCTTCCTGTGCACGAGAATAGATAGCTAGATGAATCTTAAGGTAAACTCACTAGTTACAAGGAATTGTTACGTCTGGGTTAAAGTTAACTGTCGTGTTACTGTAATTTGTACGTGGGTAATGTGAACTGAGGGAATGAAATGTAACCACTTGAATAAGATCACAGCTGTAAAACCTATAAAAGAAGAAGCTGCAATGCAATAGATGGTCTATCATTGGCAGAGCTCATAGTGACCTTTTGTTGACAAAATAAACTTTTTATTATTTTCCTTCCATTCAGCTCATCTTTATGTGTGCGTCACTTGCCAATTCCTTCCTCAGCATTAACAGTTATCTGGGTTATACTTCTGTCTTTACTACCAAACAGAAGAGAAAGTACAGACAAATTAGCCACTTAGTCATGCCTTAGTTTCTCCAAGAGTAAATTAAAATGATATTTTACAGATTTAACAAGTATTTTCTGAGTAATTTGTGGGATCCAAATGTTTCTATAATGTTTGAATCTCTATGATTGATTTTTTTTTCTGAATGACCTATTAAAGTGGTTAAGAATGCAATGTGTCACTGATGGGTGATGATGTCATCACACACTTACTTAACTAAACATTTGTAGCTTTTAGAAAAATATAATGCTTTGACTCAAAGTAAGGAGAAATAGTCAATCCCCTTTGTTTCATCTTATTCAATAGTATATTTTCTGAAATCCAATAGACCTCATAATGCATTTACTCTTGGGAAATAGTAAAATTTAACAATGGTGATGTAGCACTGAGTGTAATCAGATGTGATTATGGTTTTTAGTTTAAAACATAATATTGAAATAACTAAAATCGAGCCTGTGAATTAAGATTGATTTTTCCACTTTCTAGTGGAAATATCTTCAAAGTATTCTAAAGATTCC